ATGTGTGATATGTTATATGTGTTATGTTTCAAAATATTATGGGCCGGAAGGCAAAATACTATGGGCCGGAAGGCGATATGTTATGGGCCGGAAGGCGATTATGTTACGGGCCGGAAGGCGTATGTGGGTAAGTCGTATACTGGGGAACTCACTAAGCATTTATGCTTACCAGTTGTGTTTATGTTTTTCAGGTTCTAGTGATGACCGTGGGAAAGCGCCGGCGTGACACGTACACACTGCCATTGTTGAAGATCTTGGGGATTCGTTATTTATATTTTTGCAATAAACTTGGAATAAATTCTTTTGTCGAATAATGATGTTTTATTTTAAATGAAAATTTTATTTGAAAATTGAGGTGTTACATTCTAGTTCCAAATTAGTATGTTGGTTAACCACACACGCTCCACTAACTACTTGACAGGGCGCAAAGTGTAATTTCATGGAATAGCATCATTTTCACATTTTTCCTAAAGTAACAAAGATTGAGAATTTATAAAAACATTTAGTTACTTTACAGATCATTATACTTATTAATGAGGAATTAGTTGCCCTATCCTACCCATTCAGATAACGACCCTCCACTAGTCAAGATTGTGGTGGGTAATAGTAGTTACTCAATGGCGGTCATTTTATAGACCGCTTCCTTAAACACACCTTATAGACCAGCTTCATGAATGAGGCCTACTATCAGTAAGACTAGCTTATCTTATATATATATAATATATATATATATATATATATATATATATATATATATATATATATATATATATATATATATATGATGGGTTTTGTACATAAGAACATTCCTAAGTGCGCATACAAGTAATGCTTGGATTTAGGTTTCTCTATTGAACATGCTTTGAATCCAAGGCTTCTAATGACTTATTAGGTGTAAGAACAACACAAAATCAGATCTAGAAACATACCTTTGATTCTCTTGTCTGATCTTGTTGTCTTGGATCTCTAGAGTCACAATTATCACTCCTCTAATGGCTTACAAACACTAACTAGCAAAGAGGATGATTTGAGAGAGAGGAGAGGGCATGGAATTCGACCAGAGTATCCTTACTTTAGAAGATGTGTCGAATTCTCTATCCCATAGGGTCTATTTGTACTTGTAGACTCCTTAAGGGTTACAACTTAAACCCTAGTTGGATAACTATTACTCAAAGAAATCCAAATCCTTCCAAGATAATGCCTTGGACGAATTTAGGACTTATCCTAGCCTAGAATTTGTCCAACCCTTTATCCAATAAGGATTTACAGTCTAAAGTTTAACTATCATGCAATTGATAGTTTATACCCTCTTATTTAATTAATCTCTTTAAGTCACCAAATTAATACTAATTAATCTATGACTTATATTAATCAAATAACTATATTAATTATTTCTTATATTATTATCATAATATATTAATAATATCTATTCTCTCATAATAAATCATCCTACCAAGTTGCTATGGTGAAGGCAACCTAAAAGGACCATGCACAATCGGGTCAAATACTTGCCTAATATAGTTGCAGCCTTAGACACTATTCCAACAGTCTCCCACTTGGATAAGTCTAGTAACTATATGCGCAGGTACACTCTGATTTGCAATCATAGCTCTCAAAGACGCTGTCAAACTCTGATCTAATTAATCTTGTCCTTTAGATAAGGGATCGTACAGTCCTCTGTTAGATATCATGCTGACAATACTATGGAATAGTTAGTCTAGCATTTGGTTTCTTGGTTTCTGATTTATTTGACATAGAACTTAATTGAACACATCAATTCAATTCTGATCGGGCCTGGCACATAAGTCAAATCAAATCATCGAGCGGCCGAGATATCGCTTTTTCCTTCTTTGGATAAAAGTTACAGATAAACTTCGACTTATATGCCTTCACTTATTCATTAACAAACTACACAAAACAATGTGTTTTATAACATCGAATTACCAATGCGTTTTCGCATTATCAATGTACAATCAATTAACCAATGACAAACCATATATCTAGGTTTTAAGACTATATGATATTATCATCTTGCGATCACCCATTTACTATCACATTCCATAAGGTGATTCCAGCAAGCGCGGGTTTGTTCCAATGCTCAAGCCTAGTTCATAAGCACTCATGAACGTTGCAGCAATCTTTTGCTATGTCTAACACCATTTAGACACTCTACATACCTATTCATGACAATCTTCATTTATATCTACTTCTGACATATGAACGATTGTGGACTATTTGAACAATTCGATTATTCTTAATAAACTCAATTATTCTGGAAGTCAAAACATGCAAAGTGAAACAATAGTTAAACAATTAACATAAGATAGTAACATTACTTATAAATAAAACTCCTTTATTTAATCATCAAATGTTAATTACATTTATCTATTACACGTTTCTAATACTATCTAATCTATGCTAATATCATCCTTCAGCCCAATACTCCTAGCATGCTGCAAATGCTTAACCCTACTCAGTCCCTTCGTAAGCGGATCTGCTGGGTTATCTTCTGATGATATTCTATTCACTACGAGTTGTCCTTCTTCTACACGATGTCTAATAAAGTGATATTTTCTGTTGATAAATGTCGTGATCTACTATGATATCTCGGTTCCTTGGTCAAGGCAACCGCACCTTCATTATCACAGAAAATCTCCATGGGATCCTTTATGGCAGGTACAACTCCAAGATCACCAATGAAATTCTTCAGCCATATTGCCTCCTTCGATGCTTCGCTCGCTGCAATGTACTCTGATTCGCACGTTGAATCAGCTACGGTTTCCTGCTTGGAACTCTTCCAAGTTACTGCTCCTCCATTCAGGGTAAAGACCCATCCCGACTGCGAACGGTAGTTGTCCCTGTCGGTCTGAAAACTGGCGTCACTATACCCTCACACCTTCAAGTCATCACTCCCTCCAAGGACTAAGAACCATTCCTTCGTCCTCCGAAGGTACTTAAGGATATTCTTCACCGCAACCCAATGGGCTCTGCCTGGATTCCCTTGATATCTACTAACCATGCTCAAAGCAAAGGCTACATCAGGGTGAGTACAAGTCATAGCGTACGTGATTGAGCCAACTGCGGAAGCGTATGGAACTCGGCTCATTTCAACTATCTCGGTTTCGGTACTTTGGACTTTGAGTCTTACTCAACTTGGCATTGCTTTGTATCGGTAATTCTCCCTTCTTCGAGTTTTCCATACTAAAACGTTTTAGTACCTCCTCTAAGTAAGTGTTCTGACTAAGTCCTATTAGTCTCTTACTTCTTTCTCTTACTATCCTTATTCCCAAAATATAGGAAGCCTCTCCGAGTTCCTTCATAGCGAAGCACTTCCCGAGCCAGGACTTAACTTCCTGCAGAATCGGGACGTCGTTTCCTATGAGTAATATGTCATCGACATATAGAACGAGAAAGCTTACTACACTCCCACTGGATTTGACATATACATACGATTCATCTTCGCTTCGTACAAATCCAAACTCTTTGACTTAGGTGTTGTTTGTTTTTCTGAAGCCAAAATATTTGCAGTCTGCGGACCACATCTGCAAGCCTCTGCAGCAGAAGATGTGGACAAAACGTTTGCAGTCTGCAATAAGAAGACTGTTTGTTTTTTAATGTCTGCAGGCTGCTGAAATAAACTGAATTTTAAATAAAATTATTTTACAAACTTAAAATGATTTTTCAACACCAAAATTTTAATAATAATAGTCTTATCACATTGAAAATAAAATTCATGCAACTAAATTAGTCATACAATAAAAAAAACTTGTTTTACAATAACAATTTCATTTAAAACAATTCAATCTATGTTGTGCATCAACTGATCAGCAATTTCATCCCGTAACTGAGTCATATATTCACGGTCTGCTGCAGTACCATGTGTTGGAATCCCGTCTTCATCATCATCAATGGCCACATTGTTATTTCGAAACAGGACGTTGGGTTCATCGTATCGTGCGAAATACTCATCACTCAATCCTTCTTTTCTTATATAATTATGAAGCGCGAAACATGCCATGGCGATGTTTCTTTGTGTCACAAACGGGAATGGTGCCATCCTCTTCAATATAGGGAAGCGTGCTTTCAAAACACCAAAAGCACGCTCAATGACATTCCGAAGTTTTGCATTTCCATGGTTAAATTTTTCTTTATTGGTTAATGCACGTCTTTGACGAAAATCTCCAAGCCAATACCTCACATTACGATAAGGGGCCATAAATCCTCGAGTGTGTGCATACGCGGCATCACAAAGATAATATTTGTCTGAAAAAAATGCAAAACACTAATCAATTTTCAAATTAAGATAACAATATTTTAAAAAAAAAAAACAAAACCTTACCTGGTGGTGGAAACGGGAATGATGTTTGTGGATCGGCTACTGCTTCTGATAATATTCTAGAGTCATGCGCTACCCCTTCCCACCCGATCACAACAAAAGTAAAAATCATATTGAAGTCACAAATTGCCAATACGTTTTGGTAGCAATCTCCCTTTCCCCTACTTCTATATAAGTCTTGTTTCTTAGCAGGGACAACAGCATGTATCAAAGTGCCATCAAGTGCACCAACTGCTCCTTTGAAAACCCTTCGTAGCCTCCTATTATGTCCTGGAATGTTTGGATTCGGATTAAAAGATGTTGGTACTATAACATCTTGTGCGAAAAGCATCATTTTTTCCAACACTTCATAAAAAAATTTATGAATTGTTTGCTTCGAGTGTTGAAATCTCCACTTGATAATCACGTAACGTTGATTATGTTTCGATCATCATCAAAAACATAGCCATCTTTTCCTCAACTGATACATGTTTGCTGTCCTTTAATGAGTAATTTGCTCTAAAATGAGCACATAGTCGCACGAAAGATTCACGGGACATGCGTAATACTTCAACACATTGTAAACGATTACGGTGTAATAACTCCAATGTGTATTCATGTCCCGTCATTTCCGAATCATTATCCCGCAATCGTTTCACACCCCTCTTCCAAAAATAACGGATGTATAGGTACATAAGAATTACGAGAAGTAACTTTTGATCGTGATCCATATGAACCTAAAATCAACAAAGTAGAACTTTAAAAAACATTACATAAACCATATTTCAAGTATCAAATAAACATTCCATTAATCATATTTCAAGTACCAAAAAAACATTACATAAACCATCTTTCAAGTATCAAATAAACATTCCATTAATCGTATTTCAAGTACCAAAATAACATTGCATAAACCATAGTCCAAGTAGCAAAATAACAAAAAATAGTTCCAACAAGGGCAAAAAGACCTAACAAAATAGTTCCAACAACCCCAAAAACATTTAACAAAGTAGTTCCAACAAAGCAAAAAGACATAACAAATAGTTTCAACACTAGAAAATCATCGAACAATCTTTCCATCCTTCAAAACTCCTAAACTGGTACCCGTCATCTCAAGCCACCCTCGTAATATCTCGGGAACATCGGGCAAATGCATCCACATCTCTCTCATGTTCATGGTTCCTCCAAAAATATGATATGCGACAAACCGTAAAGGATCTGTAGGGCCAAACTGAAGGACCTCTAACTTCTCTAAACACTGAGGAATTGTATACCCTTTAGTCAAACGTTGTAGTGCTTTCTTCATTTCAAATGCTAAATCGTCAGCAGTAATAGAAGTTCCATCAGGTGAAGAAGCAGACGGTGAGGCACTAGGAGCTACAGGAGTTGAGGGTTTAGCCCTTTTGTTGGGGTTACCGGATGGTGTAGTAGTATATGGTGAAGCAGCAGAAGGTGAAGCTGCAGAAGGTGAAGCAGCAGAAGGTGAAGCAGCAGAAGGTGGTGGCTCGTGATGAGAAGTGTCAACACCATCATCATCCATTGCATCAAAAGGAGTGGCGGTGATCTGAAGTGGTGGAACACGACAGGAGGATGCGCCAGCTACTGATGATGATTGGGTTGAGTAACTCCTAAAATTACCAGTGGCACTATTTCCATCAAAAAAACGTGCACAAAGATCTGGAAAAGGCAGTGGAATTGTTCTCAAAGAAGCAGCTTTCGGATGCCCCTAAACCCAAATGTAACAAGAAATAGTATAAGAATATTTGGCAACTTCAAACGTAAATGTATATATATATATATATATATATATATATATATATATATATATATATATATATTATTGTATATTAATGTGTATGTACCTTCTTAAAATCATCCCACTCCTCGGCTGTTAAATTAAAAGTGTTTGTTTGAGAATTGTATATATTACCGGTTTTGTTTTTTAAATATACCCATCCAGTGTATTTGGCTTTCAGATTGTCATATGCATTTTTCATTTGTTTTTGAGTTAACTCAACCCCAAATTTCTCCTTAAGAACTCTTCCAAGCCTTATCCATGAATCTTTCTACAAACTCAATCCTTTTCTACCAACACTCTCTACTTCTTAAATACAAGTATCCAATAAGCATTTTAAATGCTCATTGGTCCATTATTGTTTTTCTCCCATTTCTAATAACCAATATAACATAGACAAATATTATTTCACAGCATTATATCATCCACAAATCGAAAAGGGCTACCTATTTAGGGAATTGAAAGGGTAAGTTTGTAATTTTGTTTTATTTTCAATGATAATAATGTGTAATTTTGTTTTATTTTCACAACATTATTTCAATAAATTTTGTTTTAGTAAACTTTTTATTTTCACGACAAATTTGTAATTTTGTTTTATTTTCAGTCATAATAATGTGAAACTTTTTATTCAATCATAAATAACCTCAATTAGAGTGTTTTAATTCAAAGTTTTCTAAAAAACTTTATGAATCAAAATCATTAGTACCAACACACATCCAAAAAGCTAGTGAGTTTTCCAATTTACTTCTATCAAATAAACAAAACTTATGACTCTTTTTGATGCTTTCTATCATATACATATACACAATCAACAATCATATACATATACACTATCATATACATATACACAATCAATAATCATATATATATATATATATATATATATATATATACACACAATCAAAACTCATATACACATAAACAATCACAATCAACAATCATATACATATACACTATCATATACATATACACAATCATATACATATACACAATCAATAATCATATATATATATATATACACACACACACACACACACACAATCAAAACTCATATACACATAAACAATCACAATCAACAATCATATACATATACACTATCATATACATATACACAATCAAAAATCATATACACATAAACAATCACAATCAACACGATAATATGTTATCTTTTGCTTCACAGTTATGTATATTGGCTTCCAATCAAAGAAAAATATAAATCCAATTTGTTTACAAATCCAATTTGTTTACAAATCCAATTTGTTTACAAATCCAATTTGTTTATAGGTAAGATTTTCAATTTTCTGGGAATTTGGCTTTCAATTTTAGCAAGAATATATTATAGATTATACACCTCCAAGATTTTCTGTGAAACAAGGATGTGAATCAAACAAGAAATTGAACAAGGATGTGAATCAAACAAGAAATTGAAGAATCAAACAAGTTGAATTGAAATTGAAATTAACAGAGAGAGAGAGAGAGAGGAGGTGACAGACCCGATTGCTCGCTATTTCAGGCTTTACCCTTGTTGTTCGCTCGGTGCTGCAATCGACGCTGCAATCGGAGGATGCTGGATCGGAGAGGAGGTCTGCGATCGACGGTTTTGATCGGAGAGGAGGGCTGCAATCGACGATGATGTTCGGCGTTCGCTGCAAGATGGAGTCGTCGAGGTTTTTTTTGGGTGAGGCTGGGAGGTTGGACGATGAATGGAGGCAGAATCCAAAAAAAAAACGTTTTTTTAGGGCAAAGGCATTGCAGACTTTAGAAGTGGCTATCTCATATCTGTGTGGTGAAGACCTCGCGCAGACGTTTTTATGTCTGCGCACTTCAGAAAAACAAACGGACTGCAAACCATTATGTCTGCGCGTGGTCTACGCCTCGCAGACAGAAGAGGTCATGCAGACCTGCAGAGAAAAAACAAACACCCTCTTACTCATCGAAGCAAAGATTCCATCTGCGAGATGCTTGCTTCAGTCCATAAATGGACTTCTCAAGCTTACACACTCTATTCGGATGCTTCGAATCCACAAACCCTTTTGGTTGAGCCATGTAAACATCCTCAGCCAACTTTCCATTAAGGAAAGCGGTCTTGACATCCATTTGCCATATCTCATAATCATGAAATGCGGCAATAGCTAGCATCACTCTAATATATTTTATCTTCGCAACCGGTGAGAAGGTCTCTTCATAGTCAACTCCGGGAGTTTGAGTAAAGCCCTTCAGAACTAATCGCGCTTTATACGTGTGTACCTTTCCATCCACGTCGGTCTTCTTCTTGAATATCCATTTACACCCAACGGTCTTACGTCCGGGCACATTATCAACCAAATTCCAAACTTGGTTATCATACATGGATTGGATCTTACTATCCATTGCCTCTTTCCATTTCGCAAACTCCAGGCCTGCCATGGCTTCCTTATAGCTATTAGGTTCATCAAGATTTATTAGTGTACTATCACTAATTTACGTTTCCCCTTCGGTAGTAATATGAAAACCATACAACTGGGGTTGAAACCTAACTCTCTCGGAACGTCTAAGAGGTAATGATATGTCAATTGGTTCAACCGGAGTTTCCTCCTCGGGTAGAGCACCAACGGTTGAGGTTCCTTCATCTATCGACTCTTGAATCTCTTCAAGATCGATTTTCCTCCCACTGTCTCCTTGGCATATGAGTTCTCGTTGTCGGAAAACTCCTCTCCTCGCAACAAAGACAACATTGTTCTTCGGTCTATAGAAGAGATATCCAAAGGATTTTTGCGGGTAGCCGATGAAAATACATCGCTCACTACGAGGTTCGAGCTTGTCATGAGTATCTCGTCTTACGAAATCCTCGCAACCCCAAACCTTGATATGTGCTAACAAAGGAGCTTTCCCCGTCCACATCTCGTGAGGTGATTTGGCAACCTTCTTAGTAGGGACTCGGTTAAGGATATGGGCGGCAGTCTCTAAGGCATACCCCAAAAAGAGATAGATAGCGAAGCACGACTCATCATAGAGCGAACCATGTCCAACAAGGTTCGATTACGCCTTTCTGCCACACCATTCAATTGTGGTGTCCTAGGTGGCGTCAATTGTGAAACTATTCCACACTCCTTGAGATAATCGTGGAATTCAAGACTTAGGTACTCTCCTCCTCGATCGGATCGAAGCATCTTGATCTTCCTGCCCAATTGATTCTCCACTTCATTCTTGAACTCTTTGAACTTTTCAAAAGTTTCTGACTTTTGCTTGATTAAGTAGATATACCCATATCTACTATAGTCATCGGTAAAAGTCACGTAGAAGCGGTTACCATCCTTCGTGGTAGATCTAAACGGTCCACACACATCGGTATGTATGAGGTCCAATAGACCCTCACCCCTTTCGCACGTACCAGCGAAGGGTGACTTAGTCATCTTTCCAAGTAAACAAGACTCGCATGTGTCATCTTCCCTAAGGTCGAATGACTCCAACACTCCATCCTTTTGGAGTTGGGCTATGCGTTTCTTGTTGACATGTCCAAGACGACAATGCCATAAGGATGCCTTATCCATACTATTGGAAGAATCCAAGTACAAAACATCATTTCCTAAGTTATCAACAATCATAACAGTTTCATAAATTCCATTACATGGTATAGCTTCAAAGTAAAAGACACCATTTAGATAAGCTAAAATAGAACCATTCTCATTATTAAAAGAAAATCTAAAACCTTGTCTAAACAAACCATGAAAAGAAATGATGTTTCTAGCCATTTCTGGCGAATAGCAACAATTGTTCAAATCTAAAGATAAACTATTCCTAAGCACTAAAGAATACACTCCAATCTTGGTCACAGGCGACGATCTTCTGTTCCCCATGATTAGATTTATTCTTCCATGCTCCACGTCTCTACTTCTTCTTAGTCCCTGCACATTAGAACAAATGTGGTAACCACAACCGGTATCAAGAACCCAAGAAGTATTGTGGGAATCATTAGATTTAATTGTATATATACCTGCGAAAGATGGCTTGATCTTTCCTTCCTTGATGGCTTGCAGGTATTCCGGGCAGCTTCTCTTCCAATGTCCTATCTTGTGGCAGTGGTGGCACTCTGCCTCCTTCGGGTTGGAGCAGGGCTTAGCGGGATCAACTTTGGTCCCACTAGAAGAGGCACCATCTCGGGCTTTCACCTTGCGATGGTTCTTTGACGAAGCCTTCCTCTTCTTTCCCTTTCCTTGTCCAATTGCCAAGACAGGAGCAGCGGGCGGATTGGGAGTTGGTGCAACAGACTTGTCCTTGAAGTTGCTCTCAGCGACCCTCAAGAGACCTTGGAGTTTGCTTAGGGTGACCTCTTCTTTGTTCATGTGATAGGTCATCCTAAATTGATTGTAGCTCGGAGGCAAAGAGTGAAGCACCATGTCGATCGCCAAGTCTTCCCCAAAGTCAACATTTAACTTGCGAAGGCGGTCGACATACCTTTGCATCTTTTGCAAGTGCACGGTAAGAGACTCTCCATGACCCATCTTAGCGGAAATCATGTTCGTGAAAATCTCATAACGCTCTTGTCTCGCGTTTTGATGGTATCTCTCCAATAAGTCTTGGTGCATTTCGTACGGATACATGTCCTCGTAGGACTTTTGGAATTCGGAGTTCATAGTCGCGATCATGATGCAATGCACTTTCGTTGCATCACGCTCGTGAGTTTCGAAAGCGGTGATTTCGGCGGGAGTAGCAATTTCGGGGTTGATTTTCGCGGCTTCTCATCGAGGACATACTCCTTATCCTCATAGCGAGCAATCGTGCGAATGTATCTTATCCATTCGCTAAAGTTCGTTCCATCAAAGGTGACCTTTTGACAAAGGCTCATCAAAGTGAAAGAACTCGCAGCAGCATTGTTGGCGTTCGACATCTATAAATAGAAAGGACAAAGATAGATTAGAATATGAATCCCTAATTTCACCCAATAAGAAAATTAGGGCTAGGATCCAACAACAATATTTACATTAGAAAAGGGATGCGTAATCTAACATGCAAACAATTTGAAGGTAAGTGAATGACGATTCACTAATTCTCCACCATGAAAAACATAACTTTAAGTCCTAAATGTATTGAGAATTCCTAGGTTCGGATGAGATTCATTGAAACTTTTCAATGGCATGTTTAAATCTCGATATGCCCCTCTTGTTTGTGACTGGGATACCGAGGATCACAAAGCGGGTGTGAATTACCATGCAAATTAACATGGTGCCTTCATTGTAACGATCACCTATTCGATGTGCCGGTAAACCACACACGCTCCATCGAACTATGATAAACAATGAATCACCCTTTGCCACCTTCGCTTAGAACCAATTAGTGTGCCGGTAAACCACACACGCTCCACTAACTTCTTAGCAAGGTGCAAAGTGTAATTTCATGGGATTGCATCAATTCACTTTTCCTAAAGTAACTAAGATTGGGAAATTTTAAGAAAACATGTAGTTACTTTGTATTTCTTATTATACTTTTAATGAGAGGATGAGGTTGCCCTATCCTACCCGTTCGGCTAACGACCCTCCACCAATCAAGCGAGCGGTGGGTGTGAGTGTACACCCATTAAGCGCCATTTTATAGGCCGCAACCTTATACCCACCTTATAGACCGGCTTCGTGAATGAGGCCTACTAACGGTAAGACTAGCATTTAAGTTATACATACATATATATATATATATATATATATATATATATATATATATATATATATATATTAATCTTGTAATATTATATTAGTATAGGGTTGTATTTTAAACTTGTAAAATTCTAGGGTTTGAAATTTAAATTGTCTAAATTAAACTTTTAATCACAAAACATAAATTTCAAACTTGAGGACAAGTTTTAAACATTTAAAACATAAAGGATCAAATAACAAATAATTAAATCACATAATTATCCATATTTAATTAATAATTATCATATAAGGAAATCAAATATTTTATTAATTGATAATTATCTTCAATTAGATCAAAAATATAGTCATATATATCACAAAATCGGATTAGGGTTGATCTAATATGATTAAGGTAAGTTTCCATAAGATAAATATGAAAAAATCCCGTTTTTGGCTAATCCTAACGCTCGGACTCGCCGAGTCAGGCCAACTCGCTGAGTCCATGACTCAGAAACATAAAAATCGAATTTTTCAGTTAAGATTCAAACATTCAAGCATCAATTTAATAGAAACCAATCAAGGCTCTGATACCACTGATGGGTTTTGTACATAAGAACATTCCTAAGTGCGCATACAAACCCTAATGCTTGGATCTAGGTTTCTCTATTAAACATGCTTTGAATCCAAGGCTTCTAATGACTTATTAGGTGTAAGAACAACACAAAACAGATCTAGAAACATACCTTTGATTCTCTTGTTTGATCTTGTTGTCTTGGAGCTCTAGAGTCACAATTGTCACTCCTCTAATGGCTTACAAACACCAACTAGCAAAGAGGATGATTTGAGAGAGAGGAGAGGGGATGGAATTAGACCAGAGTATCCTTACTTTAGAAGATGTGTCAAATTCCTTCAGACATAGGGTCTATTTATACTTGTAGAGTCCTTAAGGGTTACAGCTTAAACCCTAGTTGGATAACTATTACTCAAAGCAATCCAAATCCTTCCAAGATAATGCCTTGGACGAATTTAGGACTTATCCTAGCCTAGAATTCGTCCAACCCTTTATCCAATAAGGATTTACAGTCTAAAGTTTAACTATCAAACAATTGATAGTTTATACCCTCTTATTTAATTAATCTCCTTAAGTCACCAAATTAATACTAATTAATCTATGACTTATATTAATCAAATAACTATATTATTATTCCTTATATTATTCTCATAATATATTAATAATATCTATTCTCTCATAATAAATCATCCTACCAAGTTGCTATGGTGAAGGCAACCCAAAAGGACCATGCACAATCGGGTCAAATACTTGCCTA